CCCGGCTTCCGCCGGGGCAATTTGTGACCCGCTTTGCGGATTTTTTTCGTGTCCTTTCGCGTGGAAAACGCGGTAGGAAACGTGAAATGGAAATTGAAAAATTGGAAAAGGGGGAGTCGAGTTGGAGCACGGCTCGTTATGCTTTATCGGCTCGCTCGATATTACCTTCGTTGCCGCGACAATCTCTTTTTATGCTTCGACATTATTTAAAACGTTGTACCCTTTCGTGCAATCTCCCTGATGAAATCCCATCACTTTTCAATGTCCAAGTTTAATCGACTTTATTCTACGAGAATTTCAAAGTCTCTAAATATATACAATATACAGGGTATTTCAAAGCGTACAATCAATTGTACGTATCGATTCAGGTTTACTTTCCAAGTTATTTAGTTTTGCGGGCATGTTTTACCTATTTCACCTTCTTTTACGTTATTCATATCCATCCATATCCATTTTTTTTTTTCATAGATTCTTTTAATTTTCATTGCTATCTCTATTTCAGCGATGGTAATCGAATACTGTACAGTGTTAGATATTTGATATTTATTTTACCTTAACACCATAAAAGATGTAGTAAACATGAACAGCGTCACCAAGGTCTGATAAGTACGGAGAAACGGAGCACGTCTCCATTATTTATACCCGTCTATTTACTTCTCTAGTCTCAACTTTCATAATTACCTTTTTCTTGATGAGTGTAATCAGATATTTTACTATATTATCCAACCCAATCCGAAGAGATTTAATAAACATGAACAACGACATGAAATCTGATAGGTATAGACAAGTTATCCAACATCAAATTATTTAATTACGCTATGATCCTGCGCCAAGTAATTGCTTTCACGCGAAGTATCATACCTTGTTTCCCTGTCCGCGCGTATCAGCTTCGTACGGAGGTGCTTGAGAATCGATTCGTTTTTCACCGAAGAACTATGACGTATCGTCTTTTCCCATGGACACGATGTCGCGTGTCCCAATGATCATCGCAACCGATCGTACGTAAACGCGAGGAATTAGCTTGTCAAATGTTCCTCGTGTATATCCTTCTCCTCCTCCTCCTCCTCTTCAATTACAGGTACTTACAGGCGTGTACAATCGGGTTCCTTAACGATGCGTGCACGTGCTTTCACAGCTGTCGAATTATCTTTCACGAGGCGCTTTCACTCGCGTGTCTCCTGCTCGTTGAAAAACCATTAACTCAGCCGAAACTCGTATACGAACTGGTCACCCTTGCTTCCCTTAAATCGCGTTGGTACGCTCCTTCGCGTTCGCTCTGCTGATCCAGACTAGGTTGAACCGTTACGTGACTGATGTGCCGTCACATGTCCGCGAGCGCGACCAATTGTGTTGACTGGTGATTTATAAATTTAATAGTCCATCGTCATTCTGCCGGAAAAGAGTCTGTCTCGGTCTCGAGAATCTTGCTCGGCCGACAGATAAAAAGTTTCGTCGTTGCGAATGGGCGGAGATTGTTTGAATCTCTGAGCAGTGAATTTATTTCTGTTGGTAAACGTAATTTCTGGGTTTGGAGTTTAGATTATTATTACTAAATTGTGGAATCGGTCAGTTCGTAAAGGCTATTTGTAAAGGATTATTCCTTATAATGTACTTTTTAATCGAACGAGTTTGCAGAGGGTGGTTTAGATTCTAAGGAATTATCAAATTGATTAATTTGCGAAGGGTAGTTTATAGAGCGGAGTTCTAAGTGGAAAAATTCGAAAATTCATTAATTTGTAGAGCACAGCGTATAGAATTTATGGATACGGTTCCTAAAACAAAATATTTTACAATTCATCACTTTACAGAGGCTAGTTGTACAGGGTGGTTGGTATCTGGTGGTACAAGCGGAAAGGGGGTGATTCTACGCGAAAAAGGAAGTCGAAAATATAGAATAAAAATTTTTCGTTCGAGGCTTTGTTTTCGAGAAAATCGACGTTGAATTTTCGCTCGGTACGCGTGCTGTAAGTTATAACGGATCTCACTGTAGATCGTTGTCTCGATGGAAAAATTAAAAAAAAAAATTAAAAAAAATGTTTATCTATATTTTCGACTTCTTTTTTCGCGTAGAATCCCTTTCCGCTTGTACCACCAGTTATCAACCACCCTGTATATATAAAATTATCATATATATCGTCAAATATTTATTAAAATTTATCTGACTGTTAAATATATTACTATGCGTTATTGTTAAATATATTTAATATGTTAAATATTGTTTCGTATAAAAATCTTGCGATCAATTAATATGTATACAGCTCGTGGGCTTTGATTTTAATTAAAAAGAAATCCTGGAATTGACTAGTTTGTAAACGGCAATTCATAGAGTTCACGCTACTTTAACAAATCCTGAAATTCTTTGCTTACCCTTGTAAAGCTTTTTTTTAAATGAAAAAAATCGTGGAATTAACCAGTTCGTAGATGGCAGTTTAAAGACCTTATGGGACGTTTGTTTGACGTTTTGGTACGAAATCGTATAGCTACTGTGCCTGTTATCGATGCAATGGTATGGTTTTATCGCGAGAACATTCGCCAGGTTCGCGTATCAGCAATGTGGAAATGCTCACGGTAGTTCTGAAATATGATCGACCCGCGCAACAATTTACTCGCGATATTATCTCACGGCAAATAGGCTAGAAGACGTAGAGGTACTTCCCGTGAGTCAGGTAAGGAATTTACCAAGACTACTGTCACGGCTGCCGCGCGTACATTCATTGAATCAATACGACACGTACGTCTCTAGGAATGTTAAATGACTGCGGAGGAGCAAACGTAGAGGAACGCGTGTTTCATTTCCAGCGATATGCTCGTTTGAACGTTCCACCAAATTGCTCGTTAAAACGAAATTATCGTCACGCAAACGCGCCTGAATGATTTTATTCTTGAAAACATAACTTTGCAATTTTCAGTTTATGATTTCGTGCGTTACGGCTCCTACATATTTTTCATTTCTCTGTTTCTTACACGAGTGCGTCATGATTATTCATTCTCACGTTCCTCTTGCGGAAGAATCGTACAAAAATTAAAAAATCGAAACAAAAACACACCTGCCGAAGCAATAACGTTACTTGGACGATTGGATCGATGCAACGTATGCGTCAATAGCAGCGAATGTGTAAACTACGAGCGCGGTTATTTTACGCAATTTTGTAATTTTGTGCAATGATATCGAAAATTTAACGGTTACTTAACCGCGAATTGTCAAATTGAAGACGAACGTAAGTAAACGAACGTTTGTCGGTCTAACTTACTATCGAGTTTCCAAGTCTAAGCATGAAATAAATTTAAAAATTTATTATATGGACATAAACTAGTTTGCAGAGCACTTTTGGGACAAGAGTCCATCGTAGACGAAGAAAGAAGAAAGAAGACGAAGAAAAAGAACGAATGGAAGAGGGTGCGCCCTTTATACATTGCGGCTGTACACGCTGATTTATGATGCGACGAAAATTATTGCCGCTGTTAAAATATCTCGAGACGTATTTATTGACAGATACGCGTTGCCTCCGCGAGACCATTCGTAAAACGAGGTGGTCCTCGAGACAACAAGGCGATGCCGACTCTAAATGCTATCCGTAAAGCCTCTCGGTACAAACGAATCGTAAAGGTACCATTTTTGCCAGAAACTAGTCGCCTTTCTTCCAAATATGCAACCTTAATAGCTTCTCATCAAGACTTCCGGGCGTTGAAATCAAAGTTTCCGAGCATTTTACAGTTTAACCGAGCAAAGTACTTTCTCGCGTCATCGCGCAATTCGTGCAAGTCTTTTATCTCTATTATAGTCTTTAATTTCGATAATCTTTTTAAGTACTGTAATCTTTTATTTATGATACGAAGAATATTTATGTTATGTAGTAAAAAGATGAAAGCCTAAAAAGATCTCGAGATCCGAGAATTGGTAGAATATTCAGTATTAGATACCTAAGTCGACGATGCTATAAGAACAATTAAGAAGCTGTTTAGATACTCTTTTTTACGTTGAATCCAACAGAAGGGAAATTAAGATCTTTATCCCTTGTTAAGTTTTAAAATCGCGACAACAGATGTAATCGTTCTGCGAATCTTTTTCTAGGAGAAAATTCATCGCGAATGTATCAGTTAAACATCGAACTAGAAATAATTATGGTAATTATACGTTGTTTTTTTAAAAGTAAATTACATATAGCTGGATCATTGAGATTTCCTAACGCCTAACGAAGAAAGAAACAAAGCGAATTAGGCTTTGTACGATAACATAACTGTTCTATCATACACAAGATTAAGCGATGACAAAAATGATATTGTAACAATCGTTTAAATTACCGCTTTCTAATAATCTGCCCATGTTTATAGAAATGAACTAAATTTCGAAGAAAATTTGGAAAATGCCTTCGTCAAAGAGAGAACGCGACGCCTGGCGCCTACGACACGCGATTTCAAGCGTCGCCGGTGGTGGCCGACTAAAATTAACCTTTCCGGCAACAACCCCTACGATTCCCCGTGTAAACATGCAACGGGAGTCGCCGTTGTGTTCGTCGCCGTGCTAAATCGTCCGCGCTTGTAATATTCGGGCAAGGATCGTCGGCGGCGGCAAAAATTGCGTACGTGAGGCAACTGCTTACGACTTCGTTCGTTTACTAGCCGCTTCCTATTTATACCAAACCGCCACGATGTTTTCTCCTTATCAGTGTGTTATTTTCTCTATCTCTACTTAGCCTCGGTTTATTAACTTCTTCCTCCAAAGGAACTATTTTCAAGGTTTCGTTTTGCGGTCGCGTTTCCACCCTTTTACGACGAGAACTTTTCTTTTATCAATGAATGTAATAACGTAATAGCGTAGACAATAAGGTGGAAAATTCGAAAGCGATATAGCTGAATTATAATTTGAAAAATGGAATATTAATTCTTCTTATAATTGGATTCTATCCGATTCCAACAAGTTTCGGTAGTGCGAGATATTATAGTAATCCAGCGGTTTCTTTAAAAGTCACCTACAAACGTAGTTCTTATAAATGAATGCTCTACGTTTATTATATTTCCTCAAGTCATGGAAACGTATCGCAGCAAAGATAAAAGTTATTTAATTATGAAACCAGAGAGGTGATACTTTTAAAAGTTGCATTACGCGACTAAATTCAAACTCTCAAAGTCTTCACTTACGCCGCTATGATTTTCCTTCCTTGTTATCAACCTCGTTTAAGGAGTTTCGTTGCTCGTTCCGAGGACGAGATCTTGCGTACATGAAATTTTGCAAACGAATCCGAAGAAGGAAGGCATAAAAGGTTTTCATGGTTGATTTTCTGACCGTAAAGACATAAAATATTTTGTCGTGACGCATTGAAGGCGCGTGGATCACCGGTCTTCGAGTGCATTAACAAAATAACGTAATAAAATCTGCCCCCGCGGTCGCTGCTCTTTGTCCCTTCACCTCTTTCACCTCTTTCACCCCTTTTCGCCCCATTTTCGCTCCAACTTCTCTCGTTCGTTCTTTCTTTCCTCTGTCACACTCGTTTCTTTCGTTCGTTTTTCTTTTTCTAGGTGGCCGCTCGTAAAATCTGATACATTGTGCGACCAGCCGTGGCGTATTCGTCATGTCGAGACACACCGAGGACACGCGATCGACGAAACGAAAGGATTGACCCCGTGGAACGTCCGTGACCAACCATCTTCTTTTTCTCTGCCAGGCACCTACGACTCCAGCGTTCCACGAAGTATCGATTTATGGGGTGAGTCGTATGAATACTTCCTTCCGTGGATTTTTATGCCGTGCATGATGCATGTAATTCAGCGTTTTACTGCTCACAGCGAGATATCCTTGATTACATTGTGTCTGACTTGCTTTCGGATATCGCGATGTTATGTAGCTTTGTGCACCATCTTAATTTACGAGGAAATTCGAAATCCTTTTCGAGCTGATGAAATTAACGACGGGGTCCATTTCGAAGATCGAAAATTTAGCAGCGTTCGTAATTTTTTCATTGAAACTATTTCAACCGAAACTTTCGTTTTATTAATCGATTTAATGCTACGAAATTGCTTCAACTCTTCTAGGATATCTAGAATTAGATTGCGGTTAGGTTAGAATTAGATATCCTTAGAATTAAACCAATTTCGTAGCGTTAAATCGATTAATAAAACGAAAGTTTCGCTTGAAATGGTTTCAATGAAAAAATTACGAACGCTGCTAAATTTTCGATCTTTGAAATCAACCCCATTGTTAATTTCATCAGCTCGAAAAGGATATCTAGATATATTAGGACGCTTAGCACGTCAAAAACGGTGCTGCTTCTATTAATAGTAGCTTGCAAAAGTCATCGATGGAAAGTATGATGAAAGTGCAACTTTCTTTCTATGGTAATATTTGCCAATAGAATGCTATTCGTATTCACGATGAAATACAGAAATGTAAATGAAGAATGATTAATTATAAACCATAAATAGTAAAATTGCAACGCTACACGTCGGGTTTAATATATAATTAACGATATAGTACGACATAATTGGACAGTCTATATAATGAATTAAAATACAATACAAACATTAACGTAAATAACAATTACTATGCGAAAAGTACCTGCACACCGTCAGGCAAATAATTCCTCGGTTTCCGAAACTGTGTATATAATTTATATATTACATAGTGTGTGTACACCGAGGAGGTGTCAAGTTTTAATCTTTAGGTCCTCGCGCTCCAAGAATCTACCAACGAATCTCGTCTCCCAATCACAGAATCGCGAGAATTCGGGGTCCATCTCGAGTGGAGTTTCAGATTTCGAGCGTAGCTACGATTCCCTTGTAACATAGCCTGGCTTTACGAGCAGTCGCCAGTGCAGTTCCGACAGTTTTTAGGGTCAAACGAATAGCTAATGCAAATACGGCTTCGTGGTCGGCATTATTTCATCTCTTGTGCTCCACGGTCGGCCGTTAGTCTGGACTGGCTGGAGACGAGCATCTTACTCCGTCTCCTTTGACCCTCCATCGCGCTTTCCATTGATTCGCGCGCGTCCCTTGTCTCGCTTTCGGGAGGGACATTACGCGAGAACTTAACGCTGTTCGTTATCAATTAAGACACGGTCGTCGCAATTAATTCCCTCGGCCGGTATGGAAACGAGAAGCGGAAACGGCGTCGTCTTACGAAGGCGGAGCGCGCGGGTATTTCCTTCGGATCGTGGACCAGAGTCTTAACGATATGCGCTGGGAATAAAGCGGCTTAGGAGAGAGCCACGTAATGATACTGATTAAGAGAGAGGATTTCGAGTCTTGTTTCATTTAGTTAGACAATGGCTGCGTTTATTTCTACGATTCGAGGAAAAAGGGTGGGAAAAAGAAAGAAAGGAAGGAAGGAAGGAAACAAAAGAAGAGAGGAAAAGAGAGGATGGAAGTTAAAGACGAGAAGGATATTTCTTAGATACAACGTGATCTGTGACACAAGTTTTCGAACCTCGATCTGAGCAGTGTTAATACAACTGTTTCGTTGCACAACAAGCTTCGCGTATTTGCTTCAATATGAAACATACCTTTTGTGCGTGTATGTGGGCGCTCTTGCGTAATTGAATTATTATTAACAATACGTGCAGGTTACGAGTTATACGCTATTAGCTCAATGTAGAATATTCTGTCGTACAATAGCTTAGTTATATATTACTATTGTCTATGTTATTATCTATATTGCTATTATTATTACACATAGCTTGGTTATGAACAAAACAGATGAGATTGTACATGTAAATTTTATAAATTCCAGCGAGCAATTACTCCATATGACGTTAAACAGAGAAATCTATAACCAATAACTTGTTGTTTGCCAATTTAGTAATATCGTTAATTGGTCAATTATTGCGCAAGACGTAATCAAAACACTACTACGAGTCAATCTCTATTTCATATCACGAGGAACATATTCCCAAAGCATAGATATTCGATGAAAAACCAAGAGCAACAACGTGCAGTTCTTAAAACACGTAACACAACGCGAAACACAAATGAGACAATAGGATGCAAACGAACAGACGATCTCTTGGAAGAAAGAGAGAAATTTGAAAATAAAAGCTCGCGGCTGAGGAGGTAGGAGGTTTTGGAAGCAACGCGGAGAGGGTCGAAATTGAATTAATATGCATAGCCATGCGAGGTCCGGTTTGGAGAGCGACGGTGATGGAACGACGAAATCTATCTCCGACGCGCGTCCCGGTGGCCGGAGAACAAACCTGTAATTTGTCAGAGTGGCGGTCTCTAAGCCCCGGCATTATAATTTACGCCTATGCAGAGAGCAAACTAGAAAGGAGAAGGGTCGACAGCCCCGGACAACACGTACTTGGTTGGCCCTATACCGCGAAATCGATTGACTTTCAGATTATTGTAGAATGTAGACAAGTAGATAGCATTCATTGTTCGTAGAAATAGGTAAAAAATGTCGCTATGTACTTTGTGGGTTGTTCGCAAATTCAAGGGATTCTCGTGTAACAACGACAAAAGCGAGTGATTTTCACGAGTCTTTTTAGATTAGCTAATTGGTTATATGGGACTTTTGTAGACCATTTTGGGACATAGATAAAATAGTCTCGGAGTAAAAATCTAATTTTTTTATTTCAGTTCTTCTTATCGTATATGATACAAGCCTTGTGATAGTCTTTAACAATGTGAGCATTGTGGCGTGCAATATAATATCTGTCACAACCATCAGAATGGAGAAGTTAAGAAATTTTCTTACAATCAGATAGTTTACGCTGGGGCTGAATCTATTTTTGAAAGGAAAACATGGAAAATTGGAAAGCGCCAGAGTTTAGAAGAAAAATTGAATATAAAGTTATTCGGATCTACGTATATACATCGATGCAAGTTTCATCAGTTTGTTCTTATGGTGTCTGCTACGAGAACCATACGATTCAAACACGCATTTCGTACCAATCAGTTAAAAAAACGAATTGTTTCTATCATTTAAATGATATAAAAAAACGCCTACATATTCGAAACTATTCGCTCGATCCTATTAAAAGTTTTCTCGTCGTAAGTCTCGAATCGAGCTATCCTCGCTTTCGTTTCACTCTCCGCGAAACTCAGCGAAAAGATCGTTCTCTTGTTAATCTCGTTACATCGAGTTTTTCCTCTTTTTTTGTGGTAAAAATCCCAACGAACAGAAAGCTCGGTACAGCGACGAGTCGTTAAATCGTTCCTTTCTTCGCCAAGAAGAATTTGTCATGTTTCCTGCCGTTGCTTGCCGGTGCTTTAAGCCACTTCTTCTTAAACTTCTCTGGAAAGAACGCAACTCTCGACGAATCGGGAAAGATAGGAGCGAGAAAAAAAGATGGGAAATCCTCGAGGGACGAAACCAGGAGAAAAAGATAAAAATCTCGCGAACGGCGGAACGCATCCGTTAAATTACAATGGGCACGTCGTCGTCGCGTTACAATGTTTTCCTTGGAGCGTGCGTGGAAAGAGAGAGGAAGCGTATCATAAGTTACCATGTGTGACAGAGGGACTGGTGACGTCGGTTCAGTCCATATTTCATGCTTTTGTTCGATTCTGTCGGGCATTATTTTAGGTTATGTCGAGAAATGCTTTCTGGATCGCGGTTTACCGTTCTCTTCCTCTTGCCACTTCATCCTATTCCCCAACTTTCTTTCCCTTTTTCTTTTTTTCACTCCCTCTCTGTCTCCTCCCTCTCTCTTCGTCTCTACCCATAGCCAATAACCAAAGAGGGAGAAATATGTGGAGTTTCCTGGCCAACCTCACGAGGGCTCTAATGTAAGCCCCTTGTTCGAGGTACGATTTCGTGCTGTACCATCGACACTCGACCTTGTTTGCCCTTTTCCATGTCTCCGCTTGGACAAATAATATCGAAAGACCCGCGAGAACTACTTAATTCCGAAGTACACATCGTACACATCGTACGAAAGATGCTTGAGGAAGATCGATATAAGCCGATTTTGTCTCTTGTTTAGGATCGTTTAAAACAATAACGTCGTCATTTTTGTAAGGGATCGAGACACGAGAGGGAATCTTCCGATGTTTTTAATTCGCGCCCAGTAGGACGACAAGCATCGTGCATTTTGAACGGAAACACTGATACAAATTGTACGTACGATTAATTCATGCCTGGTTCGCCCAGATATTTATCACTTTCGAAAATAGAAATAACGTTAACACACAGTTTATCGATGAGCTTTGTCAGACAACTTCCACGATCTCTGTCACTCTGATATACTTCAGATAAATCATGCTCTCGCGGTAGGTACATTTGGTCGCATCAATCTGAAAACATGGATGATGCTACAGCCTTCCTTCGCGTGCTTGATCCGAATCATTCGATCCATTCATGTACCTTTATCGGTGAGAACTATCGATCACTTGATAAGAGCAACCCCGTAATTCTCATTCCTCCAGATGTGAATGATCGATAGCGAAGGCAAGCGTGCTGCATCCTGAAGATTATCCTTAGTTGACGAGTTGAATTCTTTCCAGTAATCAATTTCCACCACTAAGTGGAGTACTTTCCATACAAATCTTCGCGTGGCTGAATCCTCGCAGTATAAATCAAACTGATTTTATCCCGTTCGGACGAGGGGGGTCGACTTTAACGACACACGTCGTTCGGAATCGTCGCGAAGGTTGCCCGCGTGTCATTCTTGTCGGTCGTTTAACAGCGGCGATAAAACACGTTCCACCTATCCCTTTCTACCTTCAACCGTCTCTCCTCTGTTCGTAAACGGCCGAAACCTTCTCTTACCATGGTTGCACATGGCTTATAAGAGCGCGTGCCACTTTAAAGCATTTCTGCCGATATAAGGGGTTGACTTATGGCTCGCGCGATTCCCCCGAAAAACGACGGAGACGCCAAGATTGCGAGAACCGAGATACCAGCACCAACGAAGAAAAGAACCGAAAAGAAAAAGAAAGAAAGAACGAGAAAAGCCAAGTATGAAGCATACGAAGCAGGCTGAGAGAAGAGAAGAAAAGAAGAGAA